GTTCTGGGCTCTCACTCCTTGCTCTTGACTGCACCGCAACTGACTCCTTGTCACTGTTACACAGCTTGGCATGCCCTGGCTTTGCATTTTTTGCTCTTTGGCGTAGGGTGCATGGGATCTTTTTCACTGGTGCTAGATTGTGTCGGTATTGGCTTTTTGCTGTTCGTGCAAAGCTTTGGACAAGCAGGCCTGGTGTCTCCTTCATTCGGAGTAGGGCGACTTGATTTGTTGCTGCTTGCGTCGGACTTTCTGCACATGGGCTTGCCGTTGCCAATGAGGACGTCCTCAAGATTAGGCCCACTTCTTTTGACCTTTGGAGAGGTGTGGCTGATGATGCAGTTGTCAACCTTTGATGCTGCCATGGCTGGCTTTTTGCTTCCTGTTCGTTCCTTTAGCAGTTTAGGCTCCAGACCGTTTCCCTTTGGCATGGCCAGTTTCGATCCATTGCTGCCAGTCTTGGATTGTACTCAAGTGGAATCGAGTACGCCTCCGCACAGCTTTGGCTGCCTTGGGTTTTCGTCCTTTATGTTTGGACTGGCATGGTTCGGGTTTCAATCATCAGCCTTTGACTTTGGACTCGCAGATTCTCCACTGTTGGTGCATAGCTTTTCGCACATGGGCTTGGTGCCGTTGGCTGTCGGAGTTGGCTGCTTGGCACCATTGTCGCTGGTTCTTGACTTTCTTCATTTGGGATTTACTTTCTTGATGCAAACGTCCGCCAAGGTGGGACCAGTCTTTTTCGTTTGGGGTATCAGTCGCTATGGATTCTTTTTGCTGGTGTATGACTGCGCGAGCACAGATCTTCCACCATCTGCGAGATCCTCGGCACGGTGTGGATTTGTGTTGCCAGTCGTTGGTTTGTCTTGATCCGACTCTGTAGCATTTGCCCTGGATTCCACATCAATGAGTTTGTCACTGTTCGCCCAAAGCTTCGTTTGAACAGGCTCTGTGGTGTTTATCTCCGATATTTGCCGCGTAGGGTCAGCCGCATCCCTCAGAGGCTTTGTGTGCATGGGCTTTGTGATGCTGACCTTTGGACTTACACGATCTAGTTTGCCTCTTTCAGTCCTGGACTGTGCTCACACAGGATTTTTTCCTTTGACTCAATCATTCGCACAAGCAGAATTCGGTTCTTTTGTTTTTGGCAAGGCATGTTTAGAGCTTCTCCTGTCAGTTCTGGATTCTTTCCGCCTTGGCCTGTCTTTGCTAATGCGATCTATTGGCTGCGTCGGATTTGCCTTCTCAGTGTTTGGCGTCGTTTGTATGACCTTGTCACTGTCTTTGTCCGACTGCACAGCCTTAGACAGCTCCTTATCCATGCGCAGCAGCTATCGACTGGGTTCCAGATTGTCAGCCATGTCTAGCGTTCGCTTTGAATCTTTCCCTTTGGTTCCTGACTTCGTCAACACTGGAAGCACATTATCTGCCGGAACATTGAGGACCATCTGCCGGATTCTTTTCTTTGACTTGCAGGGCCTTGACTTCTTTGCTTGTTGTTGGCCTCTAACGAATGATTCAGGCCTAGTTTTTTAAAGTTGAGTCTTGGGCTTGCCTACAGAATTTAGGAACAAACTTGTTTTCACAGCTCTCGCGTTGCAGGACGGCCCTCATCTCGGATGGCTCGGACAAGACGTATGTGACAATCTCCTCGAGCCAATGCTGCACTGAGCCATGAGTCTTGTTCTTGTTCAACCACAATGGCCCTCATCTTGGGTCACGCATCTTGCGCGTCATTAGCAGGACACGTATCTTCGACACGTATCTTACGTTTGTGAGATCAACATTTCTTTTGCGCAAGACGAAAGCAGAATGTCCGTTGGCTTCTTTGATTGCATCTCAACCGAATTCAGCACTTAACACATGCTGGTGTGCACGAGCATTAGCATGCACGCTGCTTTGCTGTGGACCACCGGCTTTGTTGGTTATGCACACAATGGACATGTGGACATGTCCTCTAGTTTTTGGGCCGACATGGGCTTTTGCCGCACATTCAATATCTTTTTTGCACCAGTGAGTGAGAAGCCATGAAAGAAGAAGAAGAAGAAGAAGAAGAAGAAGAAGAAGAAGAAGAATAACAATAAGAAGAAGAACAAGAAGAAGAATAAGAAGAAGAAGAAGAAGAACCACAGGAGATGCTGTGATCTAGGGAAGGGCCAACACAGCACTGTGTGTCTCCAACCCAATAGCGACGGCCTCCAACCTAATAGTGATGGCCTCCACGGGGCCTAAGGGCCAACATGGCACTATATGTCGAAAATATCTGCATCATTTGGGCAACCGAGAAGCACAGAGGTTTGTCGGCGCAAAAGCACACGCTGGCGACAAAGCTGGCGACAAAGATGGCGACAAAGATGGAACTCTTCAAAGCCACAAGGGAGTACTGAAGAAACGAAGGGTGCCATTCGGACACCTTTTTAGAGGTTGTTCGGATACCGCGCATACTGTATATATGTTTAAGTACAGAACAGCAACAATGGTCGCAACATGCAGAACAGGAACTCTTGACCCGTTCCTCAGTTTGGCCAAGGACCCAGATGGAGCTGTATGCAAATGCATACAGAGGCATTACTCTTACAGCTAGCGGAGGAACCTTGCATGGTGTGGGCCCTAGAGGGCTTGCCTTGAATTTATCCATGTCACGGGTATCACAATGGCAAGTCTACAGCTGTTCTTGTTTTGGTTCTATCTCGCTCCGACAGGTGCTTGGTCTTCAGAGGCCAGTATAACAACCTCTGCTGGGCGCCCAGTGCAGCCTGGAAGATAGGGTACTGTGTGTACTTGCCACCAAATAAAACATAATTTCCATGCCTGAATCGCATTGGTTGTATTTGCACATGTGAGTGGAGGATATTCGAGGGGTTATTCCTGGACACATGGTCAATAGATCCAATCGAGCAGCTTCGACAAGGACAGACGCCTCAAGCGCAACATCCAGCCTTTGTATGAAACTATTGCCAATCGGGCAAAAGATCGTTTGGATCTTAGACTTGAATAGACCTTGCCAATGGAGAGAAGGCTTTGCTGCTAGAGAAAGCATTGAGGTTGGGATGGCATGGCGACACCTGGACCAAAGTGACCGGCTCAGGGGGCGGGTGCTGGGTGAGGTCAAAGCCGAAAAGCTCACTTGACAAATGCAATTCAACAGGCCAATTTGCCACATTCAAGTGGCATGAAGGTGCCATGGAGGGCTTTCTGGTTGAACCTCCATCCTGAACCCAAGCACCTTTGGCCTCCAACCTACTAGCCATGGCCTCCATCCTTCAGTTGGAGATTTTGTTAAAGATTGTGTGGGTGATATGGGAGCCTTGGCACATTTTGTCAAGGCCTAGCGAAGGGGAGCAGGTGAAGTGGCTCTTACGTCCGCGGCCTATCTTAGAACCCCCTCATGCATATTGAGTTTGCCAATCACTGCAGCTACAGATTGCTACAGCATGCAGGTCCAAACTATTTTGAGGTAGCTAAGTTTCATTATTTGGGCTATCAATGTGCAAGCGGCATAAAACGCTCAACAATCATGTCCTTATTTACATGGACAAGATCCGTTGAGCAGAGACCAAGTTGATTCTGCTTAGGGCATAAGAATGTCGCAGCCACAGCTGCTTGCCTCAAGCCCAGGTGAACTGCGACCTGTTTCCTTCCAGTTGAAGCGGGGTGCAGAAGCCAAGTGCCCCTCGAAAGCGGGCCGAATCCAGACTCTCAGCACTTTCCGTTTTCTCATGAAGTAGACCACTTACCTCATATCAGCAAAATTCGGTTGCAAGTGATAACGGGTCTCTACAAGGTACTTGAAGTTTGGCTTCATTGCGCAAGAGCTGGAAACGGTCTTCCCGAATCTGGCCTGCTCCTGATCACCGTTCCGCCGAACAGAATGTGGCTCCATCACCCGATGTGGCTTGCTGAGGTGCGCACCGTCGCCGGAGATACGAAAGCCATCGCCAGTCAGGAGCACTTGTACTTCATTTCTGAAAGAACAACATCTTCTTTACATTTCTTTTATATCTTGTCCTTTCTTGTACTTTGACTTTGAGAACTCTTCCCTCTGGCCGCTGTACACATGAAAGGACCTGATCGCGGTGCTCACCCTCGCCTTCCAGAACCTCCAAAAGGCCACGGATGAAGCGGATGAAGTCTTTAGGGAAAGAAAGAAACAGCACCTCTTACACACATGCCATGCAGGGCACAGCCATTTTTTAACATTTGGCTGGTTCAGGAGCATGACGAGTATAAGCAGAAGGTCTTGGAGCAGGATGCAGAGTTGCAAGACTTGAAGAAAAGGCTTGACCGCCTCGAACGCCCGACTGCCCAGTGACAGCTGGCCTTGGTTCGTCCCACGACCTTTAAGATTGGTCTTTGTCAACGGTGGCAACCCTCAAAGTTCAGAGTCCAGAATCGCTTTGGGTTGCACTACTTTCTGCGAGACATGGATGGCGAACAATGGCATCTCTCCAAGGTGTGCGGCTCTGATCCTGACAGAATTCACGGCTGCTCTGCCTGCTCTGCCCGCTCTGAACATCAAAAGGTGATGACCTCCAACCCAATAGCAATGACAAATAGAGGCAGATACGGCACTTGCATACTTCGATGCATAGAATAGCTTTGTATCAGAGCAGGTACTGGGCAGTAGTGAACTTGCACGATACGAGTTTTCAAAAAGTGGAGCTTTGATGCTGTGCATTTTCAGTGGAGGGAGATCCAGCTCCACGTAATTGAAGTTTGAGTCCCCCTCCAAGGGCCGACCGGGAGGATGGTGAAGCGCTAGATCGACTGAGATGGATTTCCATTCTGAGATCTACGAGCGACTGAAGACAGCTCTTTGGCTCGAAAAGAGGTTGGAAGCTCTTTCGTTGGAAGTCTAAAAGTCGAAAGATCTGACACACATCACAATGGACAATGGATCTTCACAGCGCACAGCACACGAAGGCCGGAACTGTCGTTTTCTATTCACAAGAACCGATACAACTTGCATGTAGTATTTGCAGCACACTTGGGTTTTGAGAGCCATGGCAAGAGCGGCAGTGTTGCGATGTGAGGCCATCTGGATTTCTTGAAACATCTGGAAGCTTCGGGGCACGGCTTTTGTGCAGACATGTCGGCCTGTATCGCGGATCTATATAAATGTTTGATGGACAATCAAGCTAGTGTCACTAATATGCTCCATGCTTGCCGTATCATTTGCTGAAGGGGCCTGTTGGGAGGTCTAATGGCTAATCCGACCCTAACAACTAATTGTGAGACTCATATTAATTCTAGCTGGAATCTCTTCAAACGAACGGGCTCACGGACGCAAGGCTCTCCAAGCTCCGGCTTTTTGCTTGCCTTTCTTCACCCTGCATTTTAATGTGTTTACTGGAAAATTTCTTTCGACTGCGAATCGAGCCAAGTGAACTCTGGCAAGTTCGAGCATCCACAAATATGAAGATTGGACAAGTGGGCTTCTTGTGAGATTGGACAAACTTATCCTGGGAAAAGAGCCAGGGGCGGTGTGACGCTCCCTGGCAATAGAGAGCGTTGATCCGAGCACAAGTAAGCAACATCATATTTGAAGAGAATAAGTCTTAGCCTATACCGCACCACGGGATTGCTTAATTGGCAGTGGTCGGAAGCTGAAGGCACACTTATTGATCAGCTGCACAACTGAAGGAGAACCCACAATGTCCCACAGTCTGGAGGTGTTTTCACATGCCACCTGTGAATCAATTCGACCGTGGTGGATATCTGCGCATTTGTGCGAATCAACCAGCAGGGGCACTGATTTGATTGGGGCATTTTTGTCCATTTTTCAAGACAGTCGGACTGTGCAGATTGTCAACTGGGTTGAGTGCAGTTTTCACAGCTGCGAGGGCAAACCAGATGAACTGATCCTCATTGAGCTGCAAAGCACTGTGCAGATGGAGGACTGTAGCACACCAACAGTCAGCGGCTGGACACTCAAGATTGTTGGGCAACGTGTTCCTTTCCCAGCATTTTTGCCCGCAAAGAATCCTAATTGACTTTGCTAGACTCAGAGCCATTGATTGAGAGCTAGCAGCTAGCCTGTCTCACACTTCCTCACTGCTTTCATTGGCCTTTGCCTGCCTTCAGTCTTGCAGGACGGATCAAAAGTAGCAGGACAAGATCTTGGCATTTTGGACATCAAAGATGGTCCCATCTGCACCCATTGAGCATGTTGATTGACACATTTTGAAGGGGGGAACCAGGGGAATGCATGCAAGGCAAACGCAGACAGTCAACAAGGGCTTCCTTGAACCCTCGCGGAATCAAACAGGTCCACGTCCACGCTCCCAATTGTTTCTTGTCCGGAAGCGATTCTTTTCCTGGAGTTTAGTTGGACATTTTGCGCAGGAGAGCCATCACAGTATGTGGAACAGAAAAGCTTAACTTATCCTGGCAATGACGGCCAAACAGTTCTATTTCTTGCCAGGCGATGTCACTTTGACCAATGGACCTCGATGCCTGCACGGCAAAATGCAAGAGCTCAAGAGCCCATTGGTGCGCCCTCCGTTTTTGTCCACACTTAGATTGATGCTCGCAAGAGCTGAATCAGTTGTGAAGTTGCACTTTACTGCAGGTAGACCTTTACACGCAGTTGGACCTTGACTTGCACTAACACGTTAGAGCTTGATTAAAAAATAAATTGGAAAAACGCAGGTAAGTTTGCACCCACGTGGGGGGTGTCTTCATTGGCCGGAGACCCCCCACCTGGCTCCGGCCCCCCTGCAAACCTCGTAAACTCCACCGAAAGTGAATTCTTCTGTGCAAGCTGCTTAGGAACAGGTGTGGACACACACAGAATGCCGATATCGGCATCGGCGCTCAAAAGATTTACTAGCCACCTAACAAGCCTTAGAAAGAAAGGAAAGGAACATACAGAGAGAGAGCAAGCGAAGAGGGCAAGAGAGAAAGATAGGAGTAGTTACGAGGCCCTAGTGTTATGAAGCCTTCTAGTTACTGACTACTTAGCCGAATGAATTAGGTGCAATAGTTAGCCAGCGGGACTTTAGTCTTAGACCGCCCGTTCCTGTTACCCTAATTAGAGGGTGGGATAAGAAGTGTGAATTCTCGTGCAAAGAGGGGGGGTGTGGCCCTAAGGCACTGCCGTAACCGGCGCTCCCTTGACTAAAAGGCACCTAAAACCTAAAGAAAGGCTTCAAGAAAACGGAAAGCAACAGCAGGAGAGAAGAACCAAAAGAACCAAAAGAGATTACTTAGTTGCTTGCCTAATGGTCCTCTGCTCACGCTTCTCACTCTCCTCATGCTCGGCCGTAAACGGTGCTCTCTTGACTAAAGCTTCACCTGAAACCTAAAAGCCTCAAGCAAAATCTTTGGAAGTCGTTAGACTCGTCTGAGTCTGTTTCGTCTAATGTGTCGCACGCGTGCATGTAAAGATATTCAGTGAGCCCTGCGGCATTCGATCAGCAATCTCAAGCAAAACGAAACGAGCCCGTGGTATTCTGAAAGAAGGTCACAAGAGAGAGGGAGATGGAAATCAGTGGGAGTCCCCCAGAAGTGGGCTTGTGCACATGCTGCGCCCCTCGGTGCGGATCACACCACAGCGCTCAGTGCAACTCTGTGGCGACACCCACTTAGTTTGATGCTCGCAAGAATCAGTTGTGAAGTTCCACTTTACACGCAATTAGACCTTTAGACGCAGTTAGACTTTGACTTGCATTAGCACTTTACAAGAGCTGAATCAGTTGGTGAAGTTCCACTTTACACGCAATTAGACCTTGACTTGCATTAGCACTTTACAGGAGCTGAATCAGTTGGTGAAGTTCCACTTTACTGCAGGTAGACCTTTACACGCAGTTGGACCTTGACTTGCACTAACACGTTAGAGCTTGATTAAAAACTAAATAGGACAAACGCAGGTGCGTTTGCACCCACCTGGCTCCGGCCCCCTGCAAACCTCGTAAACTCCACCGAAAGTGAATTGTTCTGTGCAAACTCCTTAGGAACAGGTGTGGACACACACACACACAACGGCTATATACTCCTTTGAATCTTGTTTGGATGTCTGGGCGCATCCGGGCGCCAGGTACTGATGGAAAAGACTGGACAGGCGACAAAGACCAAAACCGCCACCGGAAAGAAGACCCTTTTGTCCCTTGGAAAGAAAGATTTCCCAAATCGTCGAAGACAGATTAAGATGGTGTGGAAGGTGCTTTCAACTGTTTTCAGCCTGTGATGCAACAGCTGACGATGGTTGCTTTCTGTAGAACATATTCAGCAAGACCAATACCTGTGGAGGAGGATGCTGGCGATGCAATTCTTACTACACGCGGTGTTGTCAATCGAAAGGCTGGATAGACAAAACCGATGCTTCGATTTAGATAGAATCTAGAATGATGAAGGAATGAATGCCTCAGCAGTTGCCAAATCTCGCCCCAAGGCGGTGTTCAGTCAGCGACCACAGCTTTCTGTCTGAGAGGACTGAAATGCATTGAGAGGACTGTAGTTAATCCAAGTCGATCTAAACTAAAGAACCTTTCCAAGACGGAGTATTTGCACTTCTGCCCGATAGCATGATTCTTTTGGAGGGCTTTGGCAGTTTCCTGCCCTTGCAGAGCAGAAGGGCCATAACCCTTGACCCATGAATGCTGGCTCAAGCGGCTGTAAAAGGCAGCTGCCGATGGGGAAATCCATGAGTTCCACGATTGTTTGATGAGGCACTGATGCCCAAAGTGTTGATATTTGTTTTGCATTGAGCTTAGTTTGCATTCATCACTTGTAGCCTTTTCCAAGCCCTTCAATCTCAGTGCAGGCCAGACTCCATCAGATGCACTGGCTGCTGCTGACAATACTTGGACATCATGTCGCAAGGATGGGGGAAGCAACGGGCAAGTCACATTTCCCTGAATTATCGTTCAACTCATCCAGCAGGCTTTGTTGCAAGGTTTGGCATTGTGGTTTAGAGCAGCACCTGCATTTCGTTAGTGGCCCATGACAGGGCAGCCTTTGAATCAAACGAGAATTCATTGAAAGTGTTGCAACTAAGCTGCACCTTTTGTGGATTCTCCGCCATTTCATGGAGCATCTCTTTGACAATCTCTCTTCCATCCAGCAATTCTTGAGGCTATTTTGGGCAGTGGACAGTGCCAATCGGACACAGGACGCATGCAAGATCGCACCGTAAACCCAACCGCCAAGAATACAGCCTTTGTTTCATCAGACTTGCCTGTGAGGAGAACGTTGTACGAAATGTGGCGCAGCTTGGCTGTCGGTGAATTGGCGGAACGTTTGAGGCACATATTTTCTATTTTGTGAGGTATGCACGGAGAATGGGCGGACGTCAATGCTGCGATGTGATGCTTGCGTATCGTGGAAGTTGATTGAGACGGGGATGATCCCTAGAACCAATATCAGTTTGCGTTTGTGAACATGCTATTGAACATCCACAAAGATCTGCATTCGGAGTTGGGTTTCCATATAGATGTAGATGTGATGGTTTTGGGTGCGTTCCAAGGCATTACGAAGGGAGCTCAGACGATTGGAACAAAGCATGGTATTTGAACGAGGTGACGCAGGAGCCTTAGGCCTCAGCAAGCATTGAGTCCGAGATTCGATTTTGCAGAGAGGGAAAATAGGAAGGGGCCACTTTGTGAAGGCCCCGCTTAAAAGGGGCCTTTTGGGGGCCTTAATAAAGTTGCCCTTCCTTTGTTGCTTTATTTTCAATCCCTTTGGGGAGGTGAAGCTTCCACATGCGGTTTCTTCTTCGGCATGAGGTCCAGCATGCGGAAGCCTGGCGACTTGGTGGATGAAGAGTGCTTGATCGTCAGCTGTTTGTTCTTAACTAGTTGGTTACATTGTCCTGTTTACGGGTACGATTCCACTGGAAGGCTACAAGTTCAAGTTCCTACAGGAAGCATACCGAGAGGAGTGGCTACTTCGCTGCAAACTCGTTGCCTGAGACTGTGTGGGCAAGTTCGGGATTCAAACAACTTCTTCACCAAACAACTTCTTCACCACGTTGTTGAGGCCTCAGAAGTACGAGTTTGTGTGGGCTTTGGTTTGGCGCTCAGTCCAAGAGTAGTTGTTGCATGCAAAAGAGCCATTGGATGGCTCTCGACTTCACGCAGCCATCCACTCCTTCAGTCCTTAATTTCTCCTGAGAGCCATGGCCTCCAACCCAGAAACAATGGCCGCCAACCTAAGAGCGATGGCCTCCAACCTACTAGCAATGGCCTCCAACCTAAGAGCGATGTCCTCCATCCTATGAGCGATGGCCTCCAACCTAGGATAGCGACATTGACTTCACCGGAGTGAACCTAGTACAGCTTTTCGAGTTGGCACGTTCATCAGGATCTCTGCTGCTAGGCCGAGGTAGTTGAACGCATTTGCTGAACAAACTCGTGAAATAAGTTGAAAATATCTACAGCATTGGAATCGGGAACCAAGGATCATTGGCCCCACCTTTTCCGGAGATCAGGTGCCATCGCTTCCTTTGGTTCATTGAGACTCATAATGGATAGCGCACGAGGCCTGGAAGACATATGCGACCAATTTGCTCACTGAAGGGACTGGACGGAAGGCCTGGCGCAATTGATTTGCTTCAGATTCGATTGAGCAATAGGGCAATAGGTCAAGCATGTTGCCATGCAGGCCTTAGTACGAAGAGATGTGAAGGAAAGAGAGCAAATCAATGTGCTCGGATGCGTGGAACCAATCTGTTTTGCATTGGCCGTGCAATTTGACGTCAATGTTGTACAATGACCTGATGTTATGTTGGGCAATGGCAGCCATACACGACCAACCATTATTTTTTTGGGGGTGAAAAAAAGCGAACAAAAAGCAAAACAAAAGTAAATGAACACGCAAAAGCAGCGCAATTTGCTTTGTTGTTGCACTTGTTTTGTTTGTTTGCTTTTTTACTGGTACCACTTCTGCACTTATGAGAACTTTTATCCGTCAGCAATATTTGCTGTACGCTCCTAGGACAAAAGCGAAAAAAAGCGAAACATATGCACAAAGAATGCGAAAATGAGCGAACAACATGTGAACATAAAGCAAAAAACACGTGAAACAAAGGTGACAAACACGGAAAGCTACATTTTTTTGCTTTTTTGTTTGCTTTACCTTTTGCTTATTTTTGGCTTTATTTTTTATTTATACAATTTTTTTGGCTCCTTGTATCTATGGCTGGCGCGCCCGACTCAAACCTGATGCTTCCTTGCAATCCAAGCACATGCACACAGGTTATTTTGATTTAAGTACTATCAGGTTGCTCAGAAATCAGATCAAACGCATACTGCAAGTTTTAATAGAAGCCAGAGGCAGAAGGCCTTTTGTACAAGATCAAAACAATCTTGGTACGGATGCTTGTCTATCTCATCGCTAGTAGGTTGGAGGCCATCGCAAGTAGGTTGGAGGCCATCGCTATTA